TTCGATTCAGTCGACGAAAACAATACATCAAAGGGCATGGATGGAGAATGAACTTGTAAATACACCAGCGGCAGGAGGAGATAGATGTCAGCCAGTGGGTCTATGATCGGTTGGAATTGAAGGAAGATGTGGAACGTTAATGGTTCGTCCCCCTCCTGACTTGCCGCTAGGGAAGGAACGAACTGCTAGGGTTCATGTGCTTCTTTTATATACTTTTGCTTGTTTAATTTGATATTTTCTCGTTCAGAACTTACGGTATAATTTCTGGTTTGTGGTTTTAGTTTTTAAATTGGGTGAAACCAATCAGGCTATTTTGACCGATAATAGTTTTGAATTTGTCACATGTTCAACGATTCGTCTTGTTCGTTATTGGGCAATCTATTGTATGCAATGGCGGCCCTAGGGGGAGCAAGGGGGGTGGCATCCCTAGGCCCAAAAAATATGAAAAACATGTTAGGCCCAAATTTAATTCTTTATAATAGGTGTGAGTAGGATGAGCTTTCAGTCCTAAACTAATAATTTTTAGATTGCTTTTTTTAGGTGCTTCCAAGTGATTTTTTGATGAAAAATTATGAACATTTTCTTTATGAAGTCAAAATTATGTCCAAAAAAATCACTTTAACATTCAATTTGTAAGTCAGTTAAATAAATTATTAAAAAACAGTGTGTTTTTTATGCTTACTTTGGTGCAATGTTTTTCAATAATTTACTTCTCTGACTTACTTAATTAATTTTAAGCTGAAATTTTGTGGATATAATCTAAACTTGATGAAAAGAATGTTCACAAAATTTCATAAAATTTCATTAAAAAATTCAACTTGAAAACAGATTAGTCTGATATGATTATGTAATCAGTTTAGTAATTATTTTCTTTCGTAGTTGATTGTTTGATTCCTTAATTGTTGATTGTTATAATTTGTTTATTTTTTAGATGAAAATTTTCAATTATAATTAACTCGATAAATTTAATTAATTTTAAGGTGTAATAAAAATGATTGAATTTGGATAGGATAAAGAAAAAAGTGGAGAAAATTAGAGACAACGGTGCTAAGTAAAAATGGTTCAATGGAAAAGTTTGTTTAATTTGTGTAAAGAAGTCGAATTTTGAATATACTCAAGATGAGGATTCAGAGAAGAAGAATAATTTAGCTATGGAAAATGAAACAATTCAGAATGAGCATATCATAAGAGTTAATTCCTTAAATAAAACTAAAACATTGGTAAAGTGCACAAATAGGACCACAAGTGTTTCCTTCCGAAATAAGGACTATCAATACTATAATATTATTGATTTAGATGGAAGTGGGTTTCACAATTTTTTATAAATAGTTTGAATTTTTTGAATGGTTATTATTATTATTATTATTATTGGTATGCATGTCGGTTTAGACAAAAAAAAATTACAATTTTTTTAAGATAAGGCCCATTTTATTTTCCGCCCCTGAGCCTTTAAACCTACAGGGATTGTCCTGATTCTATGTCTGATTAGAAAGTTAGAGGACCTATTAGCTATAAAGAGTCTAGGAACTGTTGGATGTTTGCTTTTTTGTTCTTATGAATTTAATATAAGTGTTTTCCTTTTAAAAAAAAGCTTATTGAACTTTTATTTGAAAAAAACCTACTCTCTTCATCCTCAAAGGTTTGTCAAATTGACTTTTATTGATCAAATGACAATTAACTTTAACCAATGATATTTGTTAATATATATATATATATATATATATATATATATATATATATATATATATATATATATATATATATGTAAATGAAATTATCTTGAATATGAAGATTATATCAAAATATTTCTTATACAAATATAATAATTAAAATCATTGTCCAACGTGTGTCATCATTGACCAAGAAAAGTCAATATTACGAATCTTCTTGAGACGAATTCTATTAAGGTAGATCAACTTTGTGCAAATGATTTTTTTTGAAACTATCAAATGTTTTTGAAAATAAAGCGATAGATGCGTATGGAACTAATTGATCACTTATCACTTTTTCCTACTTTAAAGTTTCAAGTTTATATAATAGGAAAATTTTAGGTGACTAAAACATATTAGTTTCCTAAATATGACTAGATCTGTGTTTAGACCTTCATACGACTGAAAAAGAAGAAGAAAAAGTCTCTTCATATTTAAATATTGAAGGACAAAATACCCTTATTAAAAATGGAGTCTGTATACCGTTCAGTCGGTTGTACGGTGCAAACTGAACAGTCTGTGGCAGTTTGGTAACTTAAGTTAAATTTACGATTTCATTTAAATGAGAACTAGTGCACGTTTAATGATCATCAGATATATATATATTCTACTGAGTATTAAAAGTCTAATAATGGATATCGTGATATCGACTTCATATCTTATAATTCACTTTCTTTTTCTTATTTTTAAAAATATCTAGAATGAACATGCATGAATCAAATATGTGAATTTAATGTAATATTATACTTTTGAAATATACATGAACATGACATTTTAAAATGAGTATTACAACAATATCAAATGATCATACATAAATTATGAAATGAGCATTGAAAAAAATACAAAAAAAACTCATTTGAAATGTCTACTATGCTCATAATTTCATTTGTCATGCTCATATCTGAAAACTTACGTATAACTTAGATTTCTCTAACCTGCGGCCAACAAGTGACCAAACTCACTCACCAAACTTGGGTAAGAAAAAGTGAAAAAGGAAGAGTCCAAAGCAAGAGAGAGGGAGAAGAAGCAACTAGGGCTATACACACCAGGAGCAGCCACCGCTCAAGCTGGAGTTTGAGGTGCTACGCTGGTGCTGGAGGGTTGCGGCTGTCGACAATTGTCATCTGTGTAGGCGGCGAGCAAAGGACGAGCAACGAGAACGATTTGCGAACTGCGATGGAAGCCTAGCGACCTGCGATTTGCGAACTAAAAGGCTGGATGTATCATGCGCACGGTACAGCCGGTTGTACGATATAATTTACGGTTGGCGGGTGCGCAAAGAGGATGTGGCGTAGAGAGGGATGAATGAGAGCATTTTGGGTTTAATTAAAATCTTTAGTCTAGTAACATTCTCTGAAGTTCCAATTATTTACTAGAAATCTAGAAGCACATAAAAGCATATGGTGCATGTTTAACAGACATAAGTCTCTGCCTTCTAGTTTTTATTAGTTTACAAAATCTCTAAAAGTTTCTAATTATATGTTTGGAATGACCATTTGTAAGAGCTTTTCAAAAATTAAAAGATTTTTTTTGAGATGCTACAAGGAGTAGCATCTGAGAAAAGTCTGTGACTTTTAGTATTATTTAGTCCTAACAGCTTATATACCAAACAGAACTAAATCAAACAGTCAGATTTTTACCAAACAACTACCACCTTTTCCTTTAAGACTTATTTAGTCATTAAAAACTAACAGTTACTAATTAAAAATCATACAAAAGTATCTTTTCAGCTACTTGTGTCAAACATACCCCAAATCTAATGAGAGTTTTCAACTTTTGGCTTAAAATTGTTTAAATTTAAGCTGCATTGTGCATTTGCAAACAGTGGCGGATCCCTTTGGTTCAAAGGTGTTCAAGTGAACACCCAAAAACATGAAAATAAAGTGGAAAAATACATATAAAATTGATGTAATAATTCATATATTGTATTTTTGAACTCTATTTGCTTGTTTTTTGTAGTTCAAAAAAATACATTTCTTCGATTGTTGGATCAAATAATACTATTGAGTAACATTTTAATGTTAAAATATTTTTCAACACCTCACATTTTATTGCAAAATCTGCCACTTTTTGTAAGCACCATTTACCTTTTTTTTCTTACAAAAAAGCTGATAAGTACTTCCTAGAATAATTCGCAAACACAACCTAAATACAACTTACAACTTAGGCTATGTTTGTCAAGCCACATAAGCTCAAAATGGGCTGAAATGTTTTAAATTCAGTCAATTATTTTAGGAGGAGACCCGTTTGGTAAAAGGGCTGAAATGGGCTGAATCTGAAAAAATAGGGCTGAATAGCAATGTTATCCCCTCAAGCGTTTCTGTCCAGCTCGTTTTAAAAATTTCATCCGTTCCCAAATTATCCTCCAGACTCTCATCTTTCTCTCCTTCTCGTCACCACTTTCTTCGTCTGATCATCTCTTTCTCTCCAGAATTCATCTTCACCCGCTTCCTTGGTTTAAGGTATGTATTAAACTGCTTTTCACTTATATATTGTTTGTGTATTGCTTGTGGGATATACATCATCCTTCTAATTCCTAGATTTCTTCCGCACGAGTATATTTAAACACATACTACTTAGTTGATTAATTGATTTCTTCTGCACTGAGTATTGTGTTTCTTATAAGAACTCATACGCCTAAATACCGTTCGATTAAAATCCTTAGAGAAGTTGAGTTGTGATCTAATAAGGGTCTCTGAGCTGCTGCCTCTCTGCATAAGATACTAAGATAATCGTTTCAATTTATATAGATGAGCAGAAAAACATGAAAGTCTAACCAGTATCGTTGCTGTTATGTTTTCAGTTTTTCTTTCTTTTTAGAATAAAAAACAAAATTCTGAAAACTAGAAAAAATTGTTTTGTTTTTTTGGCAGATCTTAGAGCAAATGTCATTTGTATAAATGGTTCATCATTCATATCTGCTTTGAGTTTGAGCAACATTGACCGCTCTAGTCAATGTTATTTTTTTAACATTAACCGTTTCTAATCTGGCCACCAACGTTCTTGTTGCATGTGTGTATATTTATGTTCGGCCATGCTAGTTGATTGGCCAAGATACAGAATATGTTGAGCTAAACATCCTCTAATATATTACAATTCTGCTGGATTAATATTATTCTACTTTCATTTTTCTGTTACCGGCTTACGCCGAAAAGCTCATTTTATCTTGGAGAACGGTTTTCGCTAGTCGGAAATACTTTCGTGAGGACGATGTTTACGCGACTCAAGCTATATTATTTTCTAACACATTTTTGCAGGTTTATCCGGCCAATTTACTCCAACATATAAATCCTTGAAACCAACCCACCGAAATGTAACTTCACTTGAAGCTCGATCTTTAACAATACAAATGTAACAAATAATATAACATTACTTAATTAGTACTCAGTGTCATTTAATTTACAGCCAAAAACAAATAAGAATATATCATTTTTATAATTTCAAAAGTACAAGCACATTCTTTGTATATACACATTATTTGGAATCCATACATCCTTCATTTCTCGGCTCTGATCTCCACTCTCTTTTATATGTTTCCCATTTGTTGGTTTGCCATTTGCTGGTTCTGCTTTAGATATTGTCATAGTAAACAAAAAACTGTTAGGCAAAAAATATATAACAAGCGACCTACTCAATAATCATATCAGTTAACACACTCCGTGACGGTCCTGTAATTAATTAAATTTCTAATTTATAAAATAGTTCTCCATAGACTTTCTAAAAGTTTGATAGGGAAAATTAATAATTAATAATATAATTCCAAAAACAGGAGTGAAAACGATGTTAAATTCTAAAATAAGAGCACTTATTTATTCTCCTAAATTGAAATATGTTATTGTTATTATCCTGAAAAATTTATAGTCATATATATTTGGCATTACCGAGCCATGAATATAACACTCCTTAGTATAGTGGAATAAGTGACACTATTTTCCAAATATGATAGCAATTAGTCTTGCCTAGCAAATAAAAATATGGTGTTCCTAATTTGGAAACCACGAAAATTTTACTCCTTAATTTAGTACTTAATGATGAACTTTTTTAATAAGAATAAAATACTATTTTTCCATTCAAATATTATTGAAAAGGGGAAATAAAAAAAAATAGGACCAATATAAGATTTTGATTTTGGACAATCTAAAAAAGAAAGTAGATTATTAATTGCGGATGAAGGAGGTAGCTTTTAAAGAAATTTCTCTAAATAGGATGGATAAAGTTAATAAATATGTCCATTATACTTTTTTCCCCTAAATAAGACTCACTAACTCCTATTCTGAGAAGTTTTAATCAATTTATTTTTTCAATACAAATAAACAGGTCCCGTTTGGGGAATAAAACAAATTTAATTCTAATTTTGAACTTTATCTACTCCGTATATTTTAGTCCCTGAGAAATTTCTATATAGTTTTATTTCATTTTTGAGACTTAGGGCGGTCACCGGCCCTAATATTCTCCACCCTCAAGGTTACCTCATTCTCACATTCTTACATCAATCTATTATTATTTGGCCCGCATTAATACATTCCTATCAAAAGAATGTGAATCAGTCATTACCGATCTCTGCCGGTGGATATCCTCAAGAATGACAACAAGAGAAACAATGAAGGCATAATCAACGTTTGGATAGACAGTCATCCAGAAGTTGACTTTTCCAGCAGCTGTGCTCCCAGTCGTGTGTTTCTTGTGCATTTGGGCAATAATTGCAGAGGACTCACCCCCACCCCCACCCCCATGTGCATGCACCATGCAGGATTTCCGGCTCCAGCTCCCATCCATGTAAAAATTGCACACCTCTTCTTTGGTGTTGGCTGCTAAGTATATGTTCAGCTTTGTCTTGAACCCGAAAAGAGATGATTTTTTCAGCCTAAAAAGAAGGTCTTTTGGGTCTGTGCTTTTACCCCTGAATACTTTCCATCTACTGTGTAGACTAAATAGCTGTAGTTTGAACCAAGGTAAAGTATTTTAGATAAAAAGTGGATTAGGTTGAAATGTAGGAGAATTCTGATGGAAATCAAATAAAGAAAATGAATGTATCATTATATTAAAGATAGTGGATCGATAAAAATGTGACTTTTTATAATTTGGTTGAGGTTAAAATGCATAAACAGGATCTTACCTATTTCTATTGTTGCAATTTATTAACATAACTCGTAAATAAAACAAACATGTATCAGATCATAACTATTACGGAGTACTACATAAAAAACATAGGGGACCAACATTCCATTGTACATTGGTGACATGGATAGTTAAGGTAAAATAATGTACGGTGGCGGTCTAGGGTGATTTATTTAAATATGATATCGCCAAATCTGTAAATGTGTGGTTCATGTGTAAAGCATAACAGAATCCCTCAAATACAACTCATTCACTCCAATTTTGAAAATTATTTTCAATTAGGAGTAAATAAGTCATATTTTGGAGAGAAAACATACTTAAATTAGTCCTATTTTAGAATTATTCTAGGTTTTAGTCTTATTTTGACAATTTTGTCTAATGTCTGATGATTGATATTGCCAGGGGCGGAGGTGGAGGGGTGGCCAACCGGGCCCCGGTCTAATCCAAATTTTAAAATTGCTTAAATTTTTAATGTAAAAATTTGAATTAATTATCAATTATCAAAATAGGACTAAAAGTCACTCGCTTTGCAAAAATAGGACCAAAAAATAAACAATGTTTTCATATTATGACTAATTATGTGTCTTAGACAAATATACCCTTATAGCTATTGAAATGTTTTAATTCATAATAAAATAATAAAAAATAATAAAAAATCGTAAAAATACTAAAAAAATTAATAAAAATATTTCGATAATAATAATTTAATTTTAAAAAAAATAAAACTCAAAAACAAATCACCACCACCTCCAGTAACCAGGGGGAAAAATGCCAAATTCATTACGAATGCCATATTTATGGCAGAAAACACTGAAAATGTTGGCATTCTCAAAGAGAAATATGCCATTTTTTGGCATTTTCAGAAGAAAAAAATGGCAGTTTTTAGGAAAAATGGCATTTTAATCACCGGCCGGAGGTGGTGGTACAGTGAGGTAGTACAGGCGGTGAGAAAGGCATCCATATTTTTTTAAGTTTTTTATGGAGTTTTACTTTTTTTTTATTAATTTTTTTTAAAAAAATTAATAATTTTTTTTTTGAATTTTTATTTTATAAATATTTTATAAATGTTTTAATTATTTTTCTACGAATTATTTATTTTTCTTTCGAATTTATTATGAATTAAACATTTAATTATGGCTTTTGACTATTTTTGACTCATATTTAAAGGAAGGGTAAGAATGAAATGAAAAATAGGTATGTTTCCAATAGGACTAATATGATCCTATTTTGAAAAAAAACACAGCAAGTCCTATTTTGAGTTTTTCCATAGTTTTAGACTTTTAGTCCTATTTGGAGTAATTTCTATAAAAATTTATGTGTAAAAGTTTATCTTTAAAAAATCTTTGTACCGACTCAACTCAACTCTTACTCCTTGCAACGCCTCTGGTCATATCACCCGGATTGAAATGAATTTGATTGAAAACATATTCCCTACTTTCTAAAATCTATCCAAATTATGAATTTATCATATCCAAAATTTGTAGTGTGTACGTATATGTTCATATATTGGGTATACATACACTAGCTTCTATATATAAATACTTCACCCGCTCTTTTTTAATTAAGGTCATTCAATTTTCACTTCGTCTCTATTAGCAAAAAAAAGTCAAAAAACCAATTTTGAGAATTTGTAATTACACATTTTTGAAAATATTTTGGGAAAGTTCCCGAAATAGGACTAATTACTGTCATGTTTAGAAAATACTGACATGCTTGAAGTCTGGTACTGCCAAAACATGGCAGTAATGAGTCCTATTTTGGGAATAAAATCATGACAGTCCTACTTTGGAATTTTCAAACTGTTTTATTAATCCTATTTCAGGTAATATCTCAAATATTTTTCAAAAAATCAAATTATTATACTCCGTACATTAGTAAGTAAACTATAATTAGAGTAGAGATCTGAACGTGTTGCATTGTGACTAAAAAGAAAGAAGCATACTAGCTATATGTTTAAAAATGAAGTTACGGCTCCGTAGTAGCTTACATTTTGTTGTAAAGTGGCGACGGGGTTGTCGGCGGCATCGAGCAAGAGTATGCGATCGCGATTAAGGAAGAGGTTGCTTTTGATCTTGAATATCACGTTCCCGTCCACACCCAACACTTCAAACTTCTCTTGTTGGAAAAGTATCCTCACCTTCCTCACAAAGGCCAGATCTACCCCGTAGGGAGCAACGAATTCCGGGCCGATGACTGGAGCCATCGGCGTCGTCTGCTGTGGGTAAGGGATGCTTACTCCGGCCATGATGATCTCAACACGTACTGTAAAAAGAAATACTATAATAAGGTATGGTCTGGTCAGGGTATATATATTACGGAGTAATATATAAATAGGTAGGACTACGTATTATATTTCGTATGAGCTGATTAACTTAGAGATGGAGATCTACAAATGAAGATCGATATGTTAATTTATGTAATTGTTGTTTATATGGATTGGATATATATCTGGTGGTGGCATTGTTGCAAAAAGAAGAAATTGTCTACGTAAAAGCATGCGGAATAAATTACAACACGGTTTGCAATTCGTTCAATTGAAAGAGGTGCGTTGACAATTCCTCTAATCTTTTGTCTCGTCTTTGAACTAGTCAATTATGGTTGCCATGACCACTTCAAAACCAAAACATACGGAGTACTACATAAAAAACAAAAATAGGATACTAACACAGGCTATCATCGGTTCTTTAATTTTTGCGACACTTCGACTTTCACGTTTGTCAACGCAAAACTTTGACTGTAATTATATTTAATTATGTAAACATTATAAAAAGTTGATATTTTGGAAATTCACATTGATAGAAATTCAATAACATTTTATACGAAATAATTTGATTGTGTATATTAGTAGAAAATCGTGGTCAAAGTTAGGTCTGTGAATATTGTAAAAGTCACAATGTTGCAATAATTAAAGAATGAGGGAAGTATTTGTCAACATTCATATGATATTTGACACGGATTTGACACGGATGCTTAAAACCGTGCCAAATTTCGTGCCAATGCTATTTTGGCACAAGCTATTTGGCACGGCGCTTCAAAACATGTTACGATATGTGTCAAACTCGATCAATCTGTGGCAAGTCCATTCAATATCGTTGTTTTCTTGTAGTGAAATTGATTAGAACTTCTCAAAGTATGAATACATAAGTCTGATTTTCGGAATAAAACAAGGATACTTCTATTTATGAACTTTGTCGTTGTTTTAATTCAATTTAAGGAATTTTCTCATTAATATTTCACGCACTTTGAAAAATGTTTGTATTTTATGGGTTGAAGTGCCCTGGCGGTAGCCAGAAAGGGCCTTCCAAAATAAGAGGCGTTTCCCCATCCTCTTCCATGTCCATTACTAAAAAGTCGACTGGGAAAATGAATTTGCCAACCTTGACCAAGACGTCCTCAACAATTCCTTTCAGATATTTGAATGAGCGATCAACCAGTTAAATACACATCCTGGTGGGTTTCATTTCCCCAAGTCCTAGCTTCTCGACTATAGAGGAAGGCATCACATTGATACTCGCCCCTAAGTCAGCTAAAGCATTATTGAAATTAAAATTGTCAATAGAGCAAGGGATAGTGAAGCTACCTGGATCCTTTATCTTTTCGGGTATTGACCTTAGAACCACCGCTGATCATTTTGCGTTTTAGTCCATGATTGAAAGCTCCTGCAGCTGCCTCTTGTTTGTCGGCTAGTCCTTGAAGAACTTGGCATATTTGGGCATCTCCGCTAGGACATCCATCAGCGCCAGGTTGACGTGTAGTTGTTTGAGTAGGTCCGGGAATTTTTGGTATTTCCTACTATTGTCATCATTTCTAACCCATGAAGGAAACGGGAGAGAAGGTTTGACGATAGTGACCTTTGCATTAGGGCATGTTGGTTCCATGCTCTTCTCAGTCGGAGCATCCGTATTTTCTCAGTTGTCGTGGTTGGCGTATCCTCCTCTTCTTTGCCTTTCAGCTCAGCCTCGGATGTTCACAGGGATTTGGTTCTGTGGTGCTAGGCAAGTTGCCTAGCTGATGACCAAGAACATTATTTTGAGTAATTTACATTATCAGGGATTTGATCTGATTGTCGGTGATATCCTTGTATTTTGTTATCTCTTCTTGTTTCCTTGCTAGTTCAACTACCAGCAAGCCTATCTCCGATGTTTGGGCAACTTCCGTTTGTCGTTGGTGTGGAGGCACATAAACCTGATTGTTATTGTTTTCTAGGTTTAGTGCACCTCCCTGGTTCCGTCCTTGGAAGTTGTTGCCTTGATTATTGTTGGAGTAGTTCTGATTACCTTGGTAACCGCTGCGAGGAGGACCATTGTTGTAATCCCCACGACATTGGTTACCTTGGCAATTCCTCGATAATTTTGAGGAGGGTAGTTGATGTTACCCCCCTCTGTTGCCTTGATTTGCCCATGGCCCTTCTTTTTTTGTACGGTCGTACTCCAACATGAATTGGTCAAATGTGGACCAAAACATATATCACATGAGAGTACAAGTTCAGTTGAAAGAGAAACAAATGAATAAACATTATATTGAGATGACTGCGGGATGGAGTTTGACTTCCCGAAGCATCGAGATGATTGTTGATTCGGGATAGCGTCGATGTTGTTGACATGGTTGGTGTGATTGTTACCACTCTTTAGATTCTTTACTTCCACGACCAACCCTTCAATCTTCACCATTAGCGCTGTGAGTTGGTCAACTTTGAGATAACCCGGTTTCGTTGTTGTTGGAGTTCTTTCATCATACCAATATCTGGTGATGAAGTAGCAACTAGTTTCGAATGAAGAAAACACATCTTTATCGAAAGGCTTACTTATTTATTCTCTCTTTATAATTTATTTGTTCAATTACGCTTGCATTTTTATGTGATATATTTGGTTTTCCCAATCATCGTATCATTTTAAATCAAATGATAATTTGATTTTTAGTAAAAAAAAACAAAACTGAATCAAAACAAACTTTCTACTTCTATTCCATTTATGGTTTTCGATAAAAACCAAATCGAACAAATTGAACTCACCTCTAATATATGGTACACTATAAAAGGGTTGAAATTTACCACTTTTGTACCTCCTCCATGAATCCCTCTTCTTTATCATATGGTTCTCTCATCCCATCTTCCATCTTTTTTCCTTCTTCTTTCTTTCATGATCATCTTCCATATCCATTATCTCTCATCTTCACAATTTTCATTTTAGAGACCATTCGGTAACACTGGAATTGGCTGAATTGACTGACTCTTCTGAAATTTATGAAGTTCTAGTTGAAGTGATTGTATTGGTTGATTCTGCTCATTTATGAAAAAATTATATTTAAAATAATTTTCATTAATAAAAAAATTATAAAGGAAATAACTAAAATGGTCCTGTACAGTAACTTCAGTCAATGCTGCCATAAAAGTAACTCTAACTTTCCTTATTTTGATTATTACACTATTCAACACGCCAAATCAAAAGTTACGTGTTTGGTGAAAAATGGTCGATAAGGATGAAAAGACGAAATACAGAGTTACCAAACCGGTCCAAACGGTCTCGTATTCATCATCATTCAATTCTTCATCATCTTCCATCTTCATCACCTTAGCATCCATCTTCACTTCACCTTCCATCTTATCCACTTCATTATCGTTGGATTTAGAATCACCTAGAAATGTCATTGCAAAAACATATGAAGTTCGAGAGTCGTCGGAAAATCATAGATGAACACTCACCAAAATTTGTTTTGTATCATCTACAATGTGTTGTTTTTGTCATACCAAATACTAATATAATATGTCTCTAAGGATGAATAAAGTGAAAAAGTATCAATATTTTGTAAAATTGCGCCACATACGAAAAAAGTCGACATATAGACACTAATTTTGCATGTCATTCACATCGGTTTGATGGCTGTGCGCATACATAAGTTATCCGTGTACACCAACAAAGATGTTACACATAGACTAAAATGGAGCCATTTGTTGCAGCTTTGCCTATAACCGCAACTACAAATGCGTTTTTTCGTGCTCTAGAATCAGATTGGGTGTTTTTTCTTTTCTAAAGCCACATATTTTTTCAAATACATGCAATAGTGTGTGTTGAATGAGCTCATTGTGTTTCTAGAAATTTTCAAATTTTTTGGTGTTTGTTAATTTACTTCCAAATATCAGTTGTGAAAAAAATTGTATCCATCAACAGGGGCGGATCTAGCATTGTCAATCAGGTAGGGCCAAAATATGATTAACCAACGTATATTGCAAAAAATATCAAAACATAGTAAATTAGTATGTTATTTAACAAAATTTATTTTCAAATATAAAATAAAATCTTTTGCAATAGGAATGTCAAAGACAAAAATAAATACAAACAGGAATAACAATTTTTGTCGAATACAAAAACACCTCAAACGCATACATATTAAACTAATTTTCACCTACCAAGCCCAATGAATTGAAGAAATTAATTTTTCAGACTATTATTCAAAAGCCCAAGAGCGTTCACAATATTAGTATCTAGCTCATTCACCGTTTGATATTGGTGTTAAGCTGTAAATAAACTTAGGAGGCCAAGTTTAAATTTATATGTTTGAAGGAAGAATCCTTTTATTCTTCTAGTGTGAGACAAAGAGATTTTAGAAGTAAAAAAACATGCTCTACCATGTTAAAAAGACATGTTGTACCTGAGATTTGAACAAGGTACATGCAGTCCAACATGATAGTCTACTTCCATCTTGCTAACACATAATTTATGGTCAAATTGACCTTTTTTGTAATTATACCATTATTTAACAATACTACATACTCCGTATAATATAATACCAATATACTCCGTATACTAGTATTTTTTTAGGTTGGGCCTAGGCCCTCCTGGCCCAGAACCAGATCTGTCCCTGTCCATCAGATAATCAAGTACATATTTATAATATACATTGAAAGTATTGTGCAATTAATTGTTTTAATAAAAGTTATTAGATTTAAATACTTATTACATAAATAATACTCTGTATGTATTACATACAGATTGAAATTAAGTACTATTTACTATAAAAATTAGAAAAACTAAAAATTGAACTGATTTTAAATTTGATAAAGGGGAAAAATTAAAATATCCCAAAGTTATGTTAGCATGATCATATTTTTTTCACAAATGTAATTTCATGGTGTTAAGTACATAATTTAAAATGCACATAACGTTTATGAGGATATATGTAATTAAAATTAAATTTTACCAGATGTAATATTGTTTATTTCACAAATGAAATTTTAGAATGCTAACTGCATCCTAACAAAGCTTAAGAGTATTTTAAATTATGTAATTATTATTCCAATAATTTTGTATTTATAAAAAAACATATAATCATGGTGCAAAAATAACTTTTTATATAATGTTCGGGTATATATATATATATATATATATATATTTCATATGCAAGTTTGGAGTACATATCTCAGACCCTGTCAAAGTTTGGGGTATTGAAATTAGTTTTTCTTTTAATAAAAAAGAGACAAAAAATATTTAATGCACCAAAATACCCTTTATAAATAAATGAGAGATTTACCTAAATAGGACTGAATAAAAGGATAATTACAACAATAAGTGTTTAAAGTTTAAATTTCCAAAATTGGACTAACTCTTCCTATTCTACCTTTTCCTTTGTCCTTCCTGATAGAGTATATCTAGAGAGAAGTGAGAGCTAGAGAGAGAAGTGCAAGTAATGCTTCAATAGAAATGATTTGTAACCCCTATAACTACCTCCAGAGGAAGTATTTATAGGGAAAATACGGGCTGGGCTCCCAAGCCTTGGGCTTGGGAGGCCCATTTACAACTGGACCGCTATTGGGCCGAATACAGAGCCACTGGTGGGCTATATAAATGAATAAGTGTAAAATCCGGTTCTGTGAGACTTCTGTGGCCAACGAGGGTCTTGGCCGACGAGGGCATGGCCGACGAGGGCACGGCCGATGAGGACACCCTGGTTCCCTGGCTTCAGGATCATATTCTGAGTTGGTCCTTCGTCGGCCGACGAGGGTCTTGGCCGACGAGGGCACCGCGTGGTGGCTGTGCTTTCTGTTCTTCTGAGTATGTGGGTCCTGGGGCCTAGACCCATATACTCCATCAGGAGTCCCCCACTATCTAAGCTGAGATGTAGACGAAGTGAGGGAGAGTAGATTTCTGTGCTTGATGCTTCTTGGCCGATGCGGGACCACGTTGGCCATTCTCTGTCGCGGCGTTTGTGTGGCCCTGTTCTGAGTTTGGCCGTTGTCTGCCCCCTGATGCGGACGGGGAAGGCTATTGTTCTTTTGGTGCGCTTTGTTTGTGGATGATGAGTGTTCTGGCGCGAGTGGCCGATGAAGGTAGTGTCTATCCTTGGTTGTTGATTGGGTAAGTTTCCCTTTTGGGCTGGTGAGGCCGTAGGGGTTGCATCTTGGTTTTGGGTGGCCGATGAGGGCACTGTGCCTTCCTTTTGGCCGTTGTTGATGATGCCCTGTGTTTTTGGACGACAAGGCGTCATGTTGCCCAGGGTTTTGGGGATGATAACACTGTCTGGCCGAAGATGAAGTTGTGAGGACCTTGGGGCCGTTGCGGTACATGGACGACAGTGATTTAGGTATGTTAACTTTTCTCTTGACTCCTGGCTTGACAGTGACGTGTGGTTTCAAGGCCGATGAGTGTCCTGTGATCTCAAGCTTGCTGTGGCCGAAGGTGCACCATGATGTTATGGACGTTGTGGTGCATGTCTTGATATTGTAGTTGTGGACTTAGTGTATTTTTGGATTTCTTTGATTTCGCCTGTTATTCTTGAGGCCGGTGTAGTCCCCCAGTCCCCCACTGCTTCAGGCCGAAGAGTGAGTGAGGGGTGAAGGAGTAGTTCGAAACTTAGGCCGTAGTGGGATCCTCATACTGCCCTTGAATCCAACCCTTTGGCGATTTCCTGACCAAGGTAACCCTGTGGGAGAACCCTTGGACGCAGGTCGCTTTCAAAGGGTTATCATCAAGGGTTAAGTGCGAGGGCCTCCTGGCCGTTATGTTTCTTTCCTTTGGGGTATTGTGGCCGTCTAGATGGCCGATACGGGTGCTGTGGGGTAACCGTTGTCTGTTGTTGGCCGTTGAGTGCCATGTACGTTGTGAGTGTTATTCTCCCCTTCCCCGTTCCGTAGAGCCTGCTTTGCCAGTGGGCTTTTGATCTGTGGATTGGGCTTGGCCCATTAGTGACGTGGTGGCGTCCCGTTGGTGGCCGTTGGTGTGGCCACTGGGAGGGTGCCACGTGTAGTGACCGTTGGGTAGGGGGTTCTATAAATACCCCTCTCTGTCCGACGAGAGCTCTCATTTGCAATCTGAGCTATCGAAGTGCTAGCCAAATTCATAGGGAGATAAACTTCAAAGCAAGTGTTCTTCGTGTTCTTCGTGTTCTTCGTGTTCTTCAAGGTTAGTGTCATCGAAATTTCTCTGTACTTTGTATATTTTGCTTCCTAGGCTAGTGATCTAGTGTTAGGCGTTTGAACACCCTTAGATCTCGAAGTAGGTTCCCGTGTACTCGAAATAGTGTTTAAGATGAAAGATTTCAACGAAGAGTACTACCCCTACGACGACGAGCCCTCCACCAAGTCCCTTGACTATGAAATGGTCGAGGAGTTCTGTGAAGAGCTTGAGAATCTGAGCTCGTTCAAGTCTGGGGAGCAGGATGATGAGGACGGTGAGGACGAGGAGTCTGCGTCATCGTCTGGAGGTGGGGACGTAGGGTCTCCCGAACTGCTGATGGGGCATCCACGTCGGCTGCCATCCCATGCCCGAAGCCGGTATCTGCCGTCAAGGGTGTTGCACCGCCGAAGAGGGTGAGGAGGCCGAAGAGGGGACCAGCCTTCTCTTATTTGGATCTTACCAACATCTTCATCATCAGGCCGCAGAGCAATGCGGGTGAGTACCTGGTCGCACAGATGTATGTGGGGCCGTTTGGTAGGGTTAGGGCCCCTAGGTCGACGGACCATATCCTTAATACCCCCCCGGGTTACTTTGGAGTGTACCCGATGAGTTTTGCCAAAGGACTCAGGTTCCCGCTTCATCCATTTATCACCGAGTACTTGGATATGGTGGGGCTCCCTCCGGCCTTGTTGACGCCGCACAGCTATTCGCTTATCGTCGGCTTCCTTCTGCGGTGTGCTGAGTTGGATTTCAGGCCGACGACGGCGTTGTTCATGAACCTCTATCAGATAGGCCGTGGAAGTCACCAGAACTGTGCCTCGTATGCCACTCTCCAACAACTCCCCAAGAAAAGAAGTTTCACAGACCTGCCGACGTCCATCCATGGTTGGAAAGGGAAGTTTGTGTTCGTATCATTGGGTGAAGGGGGTGTAGAGTTTCCTTCCGTCGGCCACAGTGGACGGTTTAATCTTCATGACACGCCGAGGAGCTCCATCCTGGACGCTCAGGTTGAGGCTTTCCTGAAGGGAGGGCCGAGGAGTGTGAAGACGTACATTACCGAGTACAAGATGGCCGCCCTCGGCTTCGTACAGTATTTTGTGTATGGTGACAATGACGACGATGTGGAGTTGTGGCCGAAGATGACCACATCTTACGAGGAGGCTGATGGTCCCGATCTGGGGGTGCCAGCTGAGGATGATGGTAATACCTTTCTGATGCACTCCTCCTCGTCGTACTTTTGCATTTTCTGTTTGCTGACCCTTAGTATTTTTTCTGGTGCAGGTTTTGTCATGGATCGTATGTCCTTTATGAAGAGGGCACAACTTAAGGCGGTCGAGGAGCTAAAGGCCCAACAGCCCGGTGCTGCCCCCGCGGCCAAGCCCCCAGTGCAGCCGAAGAAGAAACGGCAGGCCGACGAGGGCCAAAAGAAGTTGACTGAGGCGGGCCTAAAGTCTACTAAGAAGTCGAAGAGAGCTTCCCCTTCTGGTGACGCCGGTGTAACACCCCCAAATTTCCCACCCAAAAATAATACTTTATTCAAAATAAATATCAACTTTATTTAAAAACATCAGAATTGTGCAGCGGAAATCAAAAGGGAAATAGGGGTGCTACCGCCACACTCGATTCTCTCTTAATCGAGTGCACAGGCTAAAACAACTTAAACTTCAAAATCAAAAGTTCACTTATTAAAGTTATTGAAAAAGAAATTTACAATGATTTACTAATAATGTTTTCTAGCGAAAGCTCTCTCCCGAAGTCAACTTCAACATCGATCAACTCAACACCTGTACAAAAATCATGTACAGAAAGAAAAATAAAAGAAACACACATTAGCAATAATGCTAAGTAAGTTCCACCTAACCTTTTAAAATAATAATAAATACTATATATAAATTCGTACAACCTCATAAAATATTTTTCAAAACACTTTATAAATCATAAATCATAAGTAAACGATATCTATATAAAATCCCAATCACATAATTAACTCGTAAACCATAATAATTCCAAAATACATGAAACACCAAAATTCTCCTCTTTTGAATTTCTCCCAAAATCACTTTGTACCTAACTTTCTAGTAATTTAGAAGGGCGGTGCTCAACACTTTGGTTGAGCCCGGTGGTCCGTTGTTAGGTACGGCCACCCCGGGACTATCGCCGGTACCACAACTGCTCCTTGGAAACGGAAACAACTACTTTAAGTGTGCACACCCCCTAAAGGTATTCCAAGCCCTCCGGGTTAGTAAGTCGATCCGGGTAGCCGGGATGTTTTCTACCAACTACCCCACCTCAAAAATTGAATGATTAGGAGCTACTACTACCATTACTACTCAAAAAGTCGGGATGTTTTCTACCGACCGACAATTCACCTCAAACCAACACAAACCAAAAATTGAGTAGTAGTAGACCTAACCATCCTCCACATTTTAAGGGACGTGGAAAACCAACACCACGGATTTCTCTCGTGATGCTCACCCTTTATAAAAATATTTATTTCTCTTTCAAAAATTTCCTTTTTCATTAAACTCCCACAAAGATAACAAATTACGTATTATTACAAAATCTTCCAAAATAACTCATACCAACAAACTAATATCTCAAATACAATCCTTTTATATAATAATATTCAAATTCAGCACACATAAATTCAATTCTCAAATAAGCACACAAAAATATTTAAAAGAAATCACGAAGAAAAAGAACTAATTTCGATTGACGTGAAACTTACCTTAAGTAGCGATAAAGCTTAACCGAAGCTTGTACCCCGATCTTCACGAAATCACCTTCTAAGAATATTAAAATTCTAGTATCAATATCAACTTATAGTTAAATTCATCTACCCTTTTAGTTATAAATTCTCTCTTAAGATTTAATTGTTTCCATAATAATTAATCTCAATAATCATCCATAATAATTTTATACTTATGTTTTAGTTCTATTGAGTGATTCGTTAAATGAAACCAGTCCAGCAGATCATACACTCAACTTAATTCTATGAAAGAAACGTACTGCAAGCTTATATACTACGTACTTGTTTGTCGTTCGATCTCTTCAACGCAGTACGACCAATGTAGGAAAATCGGCGACGGCTTTACAAATCCCTAGGCGTCTTCAACGACTCTCTCTCCGATGGTGGTGGCGGCATCTCAGCGGCGGCAGTCCAGTTCGTCGGCAGCAGGTCGAGCATCTCCACTCTCCAGCGATCCTTCTTCTCCGGCCAGGTCCGTACTCCTCCTCCTCAGGCCTCAGCCTTTCAGACGAAGCAGCAAACTGATATTCTGCCCACTTCGTTGCGGAAGTAGAAGGTTGGTTATATGCGGCGAAGTCTAGTGGCAGCAGACAGCAGTCCAGCGAGCTCCGGCGACTTCATCTCCTCCGGCAGTGATGATGATGTTCCAGGCAAGCGACGAAGACAACCTCGTCCGGAGACTTCTTTTTCCTCCGGTGCGAACGCAGCCCCTCGCTCGATCCTCTGTCTCCGGCTTCTTCTATTTCTGCAGCATGGGACTTCTGAAGCGGCACTACGGCGTGCTATTATTACTCCGACGATTCTGAGAAAGAAGGGGTCGGGACCACAGTAGGTTGGTGGCAACTTCGGCTGATAATTTTCTTTCTCTCCGGTGAGGTTACGCTGATATGCAACTCCCTTAGTCATTCTCTCTTCTCCGACTTTGTTTCGTTTCTTTGTTTTGCGCAGGTCGTAGGTTAATGTATATATATACATATATATAGTAAGGTCATGCGTGTGGGTATTTGCGTAGCTAGGGTTTAGGTGCTTCGTTTTTATCATCCAGCCCTTTGGGCTTAAAACTCTTGCCTCCGAAGTTTAATACGTAGTATTAATATGTATACATGTAGTTATATATTAGTATTACATGTAGTTAACTAGTTATATACTACTACGTATCTAGGTAGTATTTAGTTTTCAAAGTCCACCTGTGTAGTTTATTCTATTACTTTTATTATTATTATTATTATTATTATTATTATTATTATTATTATCTTGCGCATACATTAAGTATTTACATACATTAGGTCAGTCCACAATTTGACATTTTTTTTGTAGTATCTAGTCTATTTATTTTAACTAATACTTTTATATTGAAATTGGTTAAAATGTCACATCTAATATTTCCGTCAAATGAGTAACTACACATGTTACAAAGATCACTTTCATAATTATCATAAAAAGTCACCTCTATTACTGAAATATTTTTTTTATTATTATCAAAATGTCACTAAAAAAAATAATGCTAAAATTATGTTTGATTCACTTAATAATTAAAACGCCATTTCCGAAATATTTTATCTGACTAATAAAAATTATTTTATTTGTATTTAATTTTTTTTTTTTTGGAGTGTCACAGCCGGGACGTCGGCTGTTCCTTCTGGGGACGGAGGGGGTTCCAATGTTGATGCTTTGGTGGACCTCCCTTCGAGCCCCTCGTCCACCATTCCTGCTGCCGTAACGGCCACCCGAAAAAAGGGGTCCGGCCGAGAGCTGGTCAAAGGGACCTATAAGCTTGAGGTGGAATACCCTGTCAAAGGGGGGCTGTTCAACGAGATCGTTGACGGCCACGAGGTGATCTCTCAGCCATCCTCGACGAGGATCGGGCGTACCTGAAGAAGCTCGGCCATGTTAAGATGTACGATGGTGGAATGGACCACATCGTCCAAGTAAGTTCTTATGTCTGCTTCGTCTTCTCTTCTCTCTTTTTTTTGTTATGCGCTGTGGTCGTCTAACCCATATTTTACCGCAGGGTGCCTTCATGTTGATGGAAAGCAACAGGAGGCAGCAAAAGGAGATTGCTCGTTTGAAGCAATTCGAGCAAAGGGTTGCTTCGGCCGACGAAGCGCTGTGCAGCTTGGAGAGGCTGCGGCTTGAAGTCGAAGGCCTGAAGAAGAGGGCTGATGAGGCCGATCAGTTGGCTGCTTAGAAGGAAGGGGCCCTCCAGCGCTTGGCCGATATGGAGCGCGTCCGTGATGAGGCCCTTCGGCGTGCAGAGGAGGCCGAGAAGGGTAAGGCCAGTGCGGAACTGGCCCTTAGTGCCGCCGAGGAGAAAGCTGCTGAGGCTGCTGTGCAGAAATTCCTCGAAGTCGGCTGGAAGGACGAGGACCGGCTCTCCTGGTGCTTCGAGGTCGTGGCGGCCAGGCTTGTCGACTGGGTGACCAAATCCCCCGACGGCCAGGCATACTGGGAGAAGGAGATGAAAGTCTTCTACGACCTTGGCCAGTATCGGATGCAACGGCTGCTCTACAGGAGGCTTTAGCGGCGTTTCATAGATATGGGTGTGGCCAAGGAGTGGGCCGTCGGCCTTGAGCTGCCTTCATTGATGAGGCATCCCGAAGCGGAGTTGGAGCTCCCGGTGGCTGATCGGCAGCTCCCAATTGAGAGTTCTCACGTCAGCGACGATTGGGCCTATGAGCCAAGTATGTTTGAGGACACCGCGACGTCAGGTACTGCTGCCGGTACGTCCGCTGCCCCAGCCGAAAAGAGAGCCGATGCCGATAAGGACTCCGAAGCCCCTTCAGAGCCATGATTCCTTGTATTGTTTTTTCTGACTTTTGATTATGTAACGGCCCAGAAGCCCACTTTGTACTTTCCTGTTTTATGAATGAAAATGCTTGTCTTTCATACTTCGATATATTTGCCTTCTTTTCTTTCCCTGTTTGTACGACGTCCCCGTGTGAGTGTTTGCTTCGTCTTGTTGTCACAATACTTGGTGAATTCTTGGAAAATTTCCTAAGTATAAGATGTCAGTCATAGCTTTTAGAAAATCTTCTAAGTAGGCAGCCGATACGGACACCTGGGCCGAAGAGGGTGCCCTCAACTGTTCTGGGTGCCCGCTTCGTCTTTGTGCTTGGGAGTTGTAGTTTTCTCTGCCTGTTATCCTTGTCGGCCATGCCTTTGATATTTGTGTTTTCCGGGAAACTCTCTAAGTGTTTGAAGTCCACTAAGTGTCAATCTGAGCAACCGCCTTAGTTGTAGTCTAACGGTTAGCCAGACCTTACCGGTCGTTGGCGTGGCCGAGACGGGCACCTATAGGTTTTTGAGTGCCCGCTTCGTCTTGAGACTGTCGCTTTGTTGAGGAGATTGCCCAAGTTCTAGGCCATGTCGCTTTCTCTTCGTAGTATCGTCGTCGGCCAAACTAGGCGGTATGGCCGATGAGGGAATCACTTTCTCTAAGTGTTTGGGAATCACATAGACAAATTTCCAGTTTGAACAACCGCCTAGGTTTTAGCGCCTGTAACGGCCAGCAAGAATGTTGTGGCCGGTAGGGGTTGTCTACTTGTGTGTTTAACTCTCCCGCGGGTGTTTCACTGCCCGCTTCGTCCTGGGCCTCCTTTCCGGTTGGCCCTTCAGGTGGTCATGGCCGATGAAGGTTACCACCCTCGTTTCACCCAACCTCTTTGGTTGGGATTTTATGGGCGCATGCTCCGTCTTTGAAGGTTCCTCGCAATGGTTGGTCGTTTCGGCTGCGTTACCTGTTGGTGGTATTCAACTGATATGTATTTAGCCAAATGTGTGGCTGGTTTGCGGGGATTTATTTTTACTGCTCGAGGCCGGCTAGTGCGCACGGCCGTCAGTTTCCCTCTTCTTTTTTTTTGTTCCGTATTTCGGGTATTTCGGGGTCGATGGCCCTTCGGCCGGTTTGGACTTCGTTTATAACGTCCATGATCTCAGGGGGGGGGGGGTCCCGTCGCCTATTTATGACGCGGGCTAGACTTTTGGTTGGTTTCCAACGGCTGCCGTTGCCCATCCCTGAGTTTGGGGATTTCGTCACCCCGGCCATGATTTAAGGCCTGTCGTCCTGCGATCAGGCGCGTGGACGACGCGGTGAACTTCCCGTTTCAAGACGCGGGCCGTTTGCGGGCCCATCGTCCTCGGGATGTCGTCGGCCCTACCTGAGCGTTTCGCTCTAAGGGGCTTGTACGACGTGCTCTTTCAGTTGGGCCTAAACCTTTCGCTGATACACAATACAACAGGGCATACCTCAGCTTTTCGCTCTAAGGTTGCGGATGCGAAGCGCCACATCGGCCATGCCTGAGCCTTTCGCTCTAAGGTGGCCGATGAGGGCGCTTGTTAATGTGCAAGTCGAACTCCAATAAATCAAAGGAAACATGATTTTTATTCAAAAGTGGCTCAAGGGCGAGGGTGGCGTTCAATCAATAACCTGTCAAAGGGTGAGGGCTTTGCCGGCTGCACCTCCTTCGGATTATTGATAAAACTTCACCAACTGGTGTACATTCCACGTTCGTGGTACATTGGTCCCGTTTGGGCGTTTAAGTTTGTAGGTGCCGGGTTTTACCACGGCACTGACGATGTAGGGACCTTCATACTTCAAGGCTAGCTTGCCTCCTTCCGTCGGCTGACTTGCTTCCCTTCGGCGGAGGACGTAGTCCCCCACTTGGAATTCTCGGGAACGTACCTTGGTGTCATAGTTTGATTTCACTTGACGCCGGTAGTTCTCTGCTCGGATGAATGCCTGTTCACGTCTTTCATCGACCAGGTGGAGGTCGATTTTCATGTTTTCCTCGTTGACCTCTGGGTCATACTGCTCCACCCGTCGGCTGGGAATGGTGACCTCCGTGGGTGCTTTTGCTTCAAAGCCATAGCACAAGGCAAAAGGTGTTTCACCCGTTGCCCTCCTTGGCCTAGTACGATAGCACCATAGGATGCTGGGGAGCTCGTCGGCCCAACTTCCTCCTGCGTCCTGTAGGTTCTTCTTCAGCCCCTCCATTATGGTTCTGTTGGCGTTCTCAACCTGCCCGTTGCCTTGAGGGTAGGCAACGGAGGAGAAACGGTGCTTTATTCCCCATTCTCGAAGGAGCTCTTGGAAGGGCGCCGCTTCGAACTGGGTGCCGTTGTCGGATATGATCTCTTGGGGGACACCAAAGCGGGTGAGAATGTTCTTGTGGACGAACTTCTGACACCTAGTTCCTGTGATGCTGACCAAAGGTTCCGCTTCAACCCACTTGGTGAAGTAGTCGACTGCGACGATGATGTAGCGGTTGTTGCCCGCAGCTCTGGGTAGGGGGCCGACCAGGTCAATCCCCCATCTCGAAAAAGGAATTGCAGTGCTGATGGGGGCGTAGTTGACGGCTGGCCTACCAGGGGCCTTCTGGAGCACCTGGCACGTGGTACATTTCCCGGCAAGATCTGCACAATCCCGCGCCATCGTCGGCCAGAAATAGCCCTGGACGACGAGACGCCGGGACATACTGAAAGGGCCCTGGTGTGAGGAGCAAACGCCACAGTGAACTTCTTCCATGGCCACTTCAGCCTCGTCTTGGTGCAGGCATCGGAGGAGAGTGCCATTGTAGGATCGTTTGTAGAGTTTGCCATCTTCAATAGTGTAGCTTGGGGCCCTGAGCTTGGCTAGCTTGGCCCTCTCCTCGTCCTGGGGTAGCTCCCCCGTCAAGATGAAAGTGGTGATGTCGGAGATCCAGTCCTCCGCTGCTGTTGGATGCACAAGATGGGGCTGGCATGGATGTTGGACATGCTCAGCTCCTCGATCCTGGCTAGCTTGGAGATGTGCTCCGGAGTGTCCGAGCTGAGCTTGGAGAGGATGTCGGCCTCGGCGTTCTCGGCCCTTGGGATTTGTGTGATCTCGTAGGTTTCGAACGCCATCAGCAACTCCTCTGCTGTTTGTTTGTATTGCTTCAT